GCCTATAAACATACCAATTGTTTATGGACATTTTTATAACGCGGATGCAGGTAGGCAGCGTCTCGTATATATCGATCTAGCCATATAATGCCGAAACCACAAGCCTACTGCAGCTCTATCTATATCGGTGGGAGGTAGATACTTTATACTTCCTGTGATCAAACGGTCCAACGCGAAGCATACGAGAGGACCACAATCCCCTCTGGGTCTTTTCGTTTGTTGTGGTGCGGTCTCATCTCTGCTAACTGTAATATTGAGCTTCTTTGGCTTCTTGTTTCCAGAACGAGTCCAATAATTTATCGCATCCAAGAATTTAGCCAAATAAGAGCTCCATCCCTTAATAATATCTCTTAAATCAGCCAATGATATGTAATTTATCATGCTGTCATATACTATTGCCTTAAGGGATGGGATCTGAAGTTCGACGAGAAGCCAATGGTTACGTTCCAAAACAGGGATAAACACCTGCAATCATAAGTAATAATTCATTCATTTGTGCAATTATTTATGAATACCTTTAAACTCAATCTAAAATAAACACTAACCTTATCGACCTCCCACCATGCAGGATAAAGTTTAGCTTGTCCATTGCCCAACGCAAATGATTCATCTCGTTGATTCTTCAAGTGAACGGCGTTAAAAGACGTCGGCATAATTGTATATCGTGTATTTCTTTTATTTTCCTTAAGTTTCCTAATTATTAGAAGACGTGACACCCACGCATCGATATGTTGTTTTACAAAAAAAAACATATATTAGTAACTTACATAAATTTAAAAAAAAAATCAAATTAAAATATAAGAAAAATATAAGACTTACCCTCCATCGAAATAGCCATTGTCTTCGACCCCTAATAATACGCCCCACCAAGACCGATCAAGCAACAAATAGATATCATCGTTGAGCTTGCATATGTCAGTGAAACACCCCTGGCTCCACTCATGTAGATAAAAATCAACTGCGGTCTTAGCCCAAAGGGTGTTATCCAGAATTGTGTTCGGTAGTTGTTTCCTCTCCACTTCAGATACCGGTATGGTACTGGCCGGTAACTCATACGAGAGCCAACTTGAATCCATCATGTCCGACACGTCAGAGGGTTTCTCAAGAATCCTACATATGACGCCATGTGAATCGGGCTCTTGAATGGTGGGAGGGACCTCTTCAACGATGACAGTGGCCTCTTGAACGGTGGGAGGGGACTCTCGAGGAATGATAGGGGCCTCTTCAACGATAGGAGTGGACTCTTGAGGGATGACAGGCGAGTCAAGCTTCTTCTTGCGGTGTCTTCGCACTATTGGGGTATACGGAGACTTAATAGCACGTGCACGCCGTCTGATGCGTGAACTCTGTCGTGCAAGAAAAACCCGACGTAAAGCATCCACCTTATCGGTCTGCTAAATAATTAAATACAAATATCAATAAAAAAACAGACATGATATTTAAACAGTGAAAACAAAGACAAATATATTTCAAACTTTCAACCAAAAGACAAAACAAAGACAAATACTAACTTCACAGTGTTAAAGAATACACAGTTTAGCAGAATTGGCAGCAACCGAATAAATTTACTTCAACCAAAAGACAAAACAAAAAGACAAATACTAACTTCACAGTGTTAATAAACAGTTTAGCAGTATTGGCAGCAACCGAATAAATTTACTAAGCAATCTAAGTGAAATGGTTAATTTAAGTGAAATTACGAGTAAATTTATCATCAAGTTAAATATGGAAAATCTTAAACTTACCTCGTTGCATAGAGTATGAACCTCATTCTGTAACGATACTACCATCTCACGTAGAGCGACAACCTCACCACGTAAAGTAGATACCTCCACACGCCATGCACCATCGTTATCGCGTAGAGTACCGATCTCCTCACGCAAGGCATTGACCTCATCACGTAACTCCCTTGACTCATCCCGTGGAGGTGGAGAACAGGGAGATAGAAGTCGTGGCATCTTTGTCGATCGCCTATCATGAGGTGATGGTGGAGAAGAGGCTCGATGATGTGACGAGATAGGTGATGGCTCTCGTTGTAGAGGTGTATAGTCGGGTCGATCAGGTGATGGCTCTGGGTGAGGTGATGGCTCTCGAAGTGGAGGAAGTGGAGGCTGCTCATCATTCGTGCCATCAAGAAAACACTGACTAGCTTGCCACCAATCAGTGGCAAGCTCAGCCTTCGTGGGTGTCAGTCTCATTAATGGAATGTTGGCCTCCTAAAAATATAAAAACTCAAACAAAGTTAAACGTCTACTATTAATAACTTGTTTATATATGATAGTATTTGTGTTAACTTACATTATTTATTGTCGCATATGGTATTAAGTCTTCCCAATCCAACAGACGTTTCCTCTTCCAGGAAATAGCCTTGGGAATATCATTTGAAGTTTTTATTGCATATGTCTTCATGGCGGGAAATGCCTCGAATATCCAAATCTACAAACAATATAATAACAAACATTAGTAATTGTTAAATAATTAATTATAATTTTGAAAACATTATATAGAAATTCTTACCTTAAAGGCCCAAACAAAGCCTGACAAAGTGTATTTCGACCCATCGCCCCGCAAACTTTTGCGGTCATCAAAGGCAGACGACAACTTAGTCCAGGTAGCTTTCCATATATACGAACCCCACGGAAACAGATTCCATGCATTTAGGTCCTCTACCAATAATATTAGCTCCTGAGGAATAGGTTGTCTGGCCTCTCTGCCTAAAAAGCCGGCATACAAAAGTAGTAGAAGGCATACTCTGACAACATCGACGTCATTCATCCGAGTTAAACCATCTTTCTTATTAAACAATTTCTTCATGTTGTCGACGTGTAAGTTCGGCTTCTCTATTGACTCATCAGGAAAAACCCTAGATAACCATGATGGGCGGGTGATATGACGAGTGTACCGGCCTACATCATCGTGTCCGAATCGTAGACCAATGAATAAGCAGAACTCCTTCCGCCCAAAACAAGTATACGCCGGTGGAAAATGAAACCATATCTCTTCCTCACCACGTTGTATACTGTCGGGTAGATCGCTAGTCATGGTCTGAAGCCACAAATTGGTCAAATTAGCATCTCCACCCGGATGCTGTACTCTCAGCCATGGCCCGAAGCAGGTTTCCTCAAACAATTTTCTTTGTGCAGGTGAAAGCTTCGAAGCAATTGTAGTGGCTAGGCTAACTTTATTCCTTAATGTCAATGAAGCCGAAAAAAATTTCTACAAAAACAATAAACATATCAAGTTAGATATACCAAAAACTACACTGTCAAGATATACCAAAAACAATAAACATAAATAGTAGTTTATTCTTGAAACTAAAATTTGCAACACTGTTTTGTCTTTTGGTTGAAATGAAAATCGCAACGAGATAATGAGAATCGCAACGCGGAAATGACTATCGCAACGAGAGAATCGCAACGCGAAATGACTATCGCAACGAGAGAATCGCAACGCGAAATGAAAATCACAACGAGAGAATCGCAACGCGAAATGAAAATCGCAATGCGATTTTGGTTTCGCGTTGCGATTTTTATTTCGCGTTGCGATAGTTATTTCCGCGTTGCGATTTTCATTCTCGAAACTATTATTCTTCTGCATTACTTCAACCAAAAGACAAAACAAAGACAAATACTAACTTCACAGGCTAAACAGTTTAGCAGTATTGGCAGCAATCGAATGAATTTAATAAGAAATCTAAGTGAAATGGTTAATCTATTATTGAAATTACTAGTAAACTTATTATCAATATCAATATGAAAAACCTAAAATAATGCAAAAATTTCAAAATAAAAATAAAACAAAACTAACCCTCGGAAGTTGATTTTCCATTTCTGAATGATTGTGAGGGATTTTTGACTGTGAATGGTTGTGAGGGATTTCGCCGGCGATGGGGACGGAAATCTTCGGAGATGGGGACGGATTTCGCCGTAGAGAGTGAGAGATGGAGATGGGACTGAGTGTTGTGATTTTAGGTTTGAGGTTATGAGTTGCGATTAATGTGGACGGTTCAGTTTCCGATTTATTAAGAAAAAATTCGTGTTTGGAATTTGAAAAAAAAAATACGCGTTAATACGAATGGCACTATGTAAATCGCATTGCGATAGTAAGATTCGCATTACGATTTACGTATTCGCATTGCGAATTATGAAAATCGCAACGCGAATACGTAAATCGCAATGCGAATTAGGAAAATTGCATTGCGATAGTCAGTATCGCATTGCGATTTACTTATTCGCATTGCGAATTGGGAAAATCGCAACGCGAAATTGAAAAATCGCAACGCGAAATTGGAAAATCGCATTGCGATAGTCATAATCGCGTTGCGAATCTGGAAACTGATTTGCGATAATGGAGATCGCGTTGCGAATTAGCGATCGCATTGCGATTTTATTGGTCATTTTGGCAAATCCGGAAAAAGTTGGTTAAAATCGTATATTATATGGGATTTTTTGTCACTGAGGTTATTTTCTCTTTATTGTATTTGGGAGGAGAAGAATAGTAGACAATTTAAAACCATTGTTAGACGGAAGGAGATTTTGTTGGCCCGTTGGATATCATTAGGGATATAGTGAGGATCAAGCTTACAAATAGAACATTTATATGGTAGATAATGTAAATAGAAGGCTTTGTGCTAGATGGGGTATTCCCCTTTGAGGTATCCTTATTTTTGCTGGATGCTTCGTAATTTGCAGCAGGTTTCTGCTTTCTTTGGGTAATATGCACAATTTATCTAAAAATAATAATAATAAAGGAGATGACATGGGGAGATTCCTTGTAGAACATAGATATGTAACGTATAGTAGGGCATTAGCAAAAGACTAGCAAATATGAATGTTATAAAAAATAAAAAAATTCAAGAACCTGTTATTAGTAAAGCAACGATAAATCTAAGCCGATATCTCATCGGAGTAGAGGGGATTAAAAAGAAAGAAACAAAGTAATTATGCTGCGATGAAATTTATATACGTTTCAACAGATAATAAATCAATATCAAATTTATATACGTTTCAAAATTGAGAGCATTACACTGAAGCTCGAAAATCTCGGCAATTTGACATTTTCTCTCTATGACATTTACATGACATGACAGAATCTAATTCAGTATCCAAAAAAAAGGTTGGGGGTTGACCTACCACCTCCTTGGCCAAAGACTGAAAACAGGAATCTAGCTGATAAGGTCTTCTCTACCTACCGATTAACGAGGAATGGTGAACGATTTGCCCGTCCACAAAACAGGAAGGCAGTAGGTCCCTGCCCATACAATATGCCACATAGTTGCATGCAGAGAAAGTGAGGAACTTGATTGGTGACACATGGCACTTCTATTCATCCAGGAGAAGTTCCTGGAAGTTTTTAAAAGTATTTAGGACAAAACTTTCAGAATATACGTGAAGCAAAACTAACTGGTAAACAAAATTAGACCCACTAAATTTAAATGTCCAAATAGATCCTTACTCGCCCATATCATCTTCATTATGTAAGAAAGTCATCACGTCCCCCGCACAAGCACATCCTGCAGCATCAGCCTGTTGCATGTAAAAACTCCTTCAGGAATCTGAAGCTCAAATAAAGGTATGAGAAGCAAAAGATCAGAACAGCTGTTAGTAACTAGGAAAAGAAAATTTAAATAAAGGTATCCACAAGATAAAAAGATATGGATGTTTGTTACATAACACTAAAGATATAATTAGGAGCTTTACACCTCTTTTAATTAGGATAACAGAAAAAATACTTATGGTTAAGATTAGTGATTATTCTTACACGTTATTGAAGAAGGGCATTTGGAGGGTCACTTTCGAAGACATTCCACTAAGCAAGATAGGCATCATGTCCAAGGTTTGAGTTTATAATTTTTTATCAATCAACCTTTGTTTTTTCACATTTCTTGAGCAGAAACATCGCTTTCTCAATTGATAATTTAAGAGTTATTTTACAAAATGAAAGCATAGGAATGAAGCATCATGAGTTTAGCATTTATAGAACGGAGCTCTCTAATAAAATCCATTAAAATAATGCATGCATTAATATTCAATCTCAACATATTGTATCCTACTCTTTCTAAGACTTGTACAGAACCCACAAGGCCACAACACTCTCTCTCTCTACCCTCGATCTACATCTAAATATGGAGGGAAGAATATCTTCAAGGAACAAGCCGGTACCTGCAGAAAGGATTTCCTTGGTCTATCTCTATTTTCTGGTCCCACATCAGAGCTTCTTATATAGGATTCTTGTTCATTTCTGTAAGTCAATTTTAAATGATTTTTCATAGCTTGGAACTTGAAATATCCGGATATGTAATAGTGCAATAGTTTCTACATAATACTTGTCCATAATAATAACCATATGAAGAACTGATAGATACTTTTCTGTTAAAGTGTACTTTCATATGCAAAAAAAATATGCAAATTTGTAAATTGTGCTCTAGGGCAGGTGATATTTGGAATCTTGGCATTTTATTTCTTAATCCATGTGCTAGATGTTCCCCTCAACAATCAGGGCAGGTTCTAATGGCATGAGAAAAAATGAACCTAAAAAATGTACTTGTCCTCAGTGGAGACTACTAAAATATTATACCAAAGACTTGACTTGAAAATAATTGCACCTACATTGGAGATGACCCCGAGAGATAGGGTGCCACTGTTTGTTAAGTTTGGCATATTCAAAGCCCCAAGTTATATGAATTATACTCATTTACGCAATTATGAGAAATGTAGATTGTCAGCACAGTTCTTCCAACTTTCAATTAAAATTAAATCATAATATACATTTTAAATAAGCTTCTCAAACAATCAAGCCAAAGGTATATTAAACTCTGATTATTCAGTCCAAGTGCCTTTAAATGAAGAGTTAAGACCCCTACAACAAAGCTGTAGCTAGAATTGTCCTTTTAAAAGTATTAGAATCACGTATTACGACTGAACTTTAGAATAAACAAAAGGAAAAACCATCTTTCCAATCCTAACCTGTAACAAGTCTACTAGAGGCATCATCTCAATGGCTCAATCTGTCCTATGTCAGGTACCCAGCAAAATCCTTTTGTTGCAGACCAGCCTAGTCAAGAGAATTTTGTAGCGAGCGCAATAAGAAAATGTCAGGAAAAAGTCATGACTAGTGAACCAGACCCTGAAGTCTATTAGAGCAATATAAAAGATGCTAGAAAGTACCTTAAAAGTCCAAGAATGGCCTAGTACTCCATTGCTTCTGACAACCCGCCAGGAAGGTCAATAAGTAAAGAATTCGTACGATTATTATATTGGATAGAAATCCACAGTCACAGCATAAGTAAAACACCTATCAAAGCCATTAGGCAAAAAGCTTAAATGCAAGAGTAAATAAAAAGATTAAGAATTACAAGATGAAGCAACGAACCTCAGATGTGTAACAACCAGAACAGAATTCTAAAAAGAGAAGTATCATTGTTGTCCCGTAGTCAACAAGCTTTCCTGATAAAGAGCAATGCAAAATACAAATGATCAAACATGGTAAAGCAACAATCTTGCAGAGTGGGACATTATATATAATTTTATTGCATGGATCTAGTAAGATATCACAGCAAGACTATACCAAACAGAAAATGCTCCCAACTTTCAACAACTTCATTCTTGGTTAGAGAATGCGGACGGCTGATAGCACCCATTGACCAAAGTCGTATATGTAATATCATCTAATGCTAATCCTTCACTATTCATACCATCACATACTCTAAAAGAATCATCCACCCTTCCCTCCTTACATAATCCATTCATAAAGGCATTATAAGTGACGACATCTGGTGCAATTCCATTTTTAATCATCTGAGTTAGAAGCTTGGTGGCTTCTTTCATATTACCTAATTTGCAGTATCCATCGATCATGACAGTATAGGTAATCTTATTCGGTTGTATGTTATATGAAGACATTTCTTGTATAAGACTCCCAGCTTTATCCATCTGACCTATCCTACAATAACCTCTAACTAGTGCGGTATAACATATGACATTTGGCAACAAGTCCAAACCTCTCATTTCCACAATAAGTTGTCTTGCATCATCAGGAAGACCCAATTTGCACATTCCGTGTATTAAAGAAGAATAAGTGGCAATATTTGGTAGGATGCCCTTGCTTTTCATGTCATCACGAAGTTGACAGGCCGACGTCATATTCCCATTTTTACAGTAAGCTTTAATCATTGTATTGTAAATAACAATGTTGGGCTCCAGTTTGTTAGCAACCAAGTCATCGAACAAATTTTGACACTCCTCAATTTGATCAACTGTACCATATCCGTCTATCAAGATTGCATATGTAAAAACATTGGAAACTATACCATGTCTTTTGCTTTCATCCCAAACCTTGACAGCATCTTCCATTTTCCCCATATTTGAAATGCCATGTATAAGCAAATTGTAAGTGTAAATGTCAGGCTGAATTCCCCGCTTAAACATCTCTTCCTTTAACCTAAAAGCTTCTTCCACTCTTCCCTCTTTGCAACATCTCAAGATAAGTGTATTGTATGAGACCCTATCCAATGTCAAACCCCTCTGTGACATCTCCTTTAGAAGCCTGATAACCTCTTGCATCTGACCTGCCTCACACAAACCATGAATTAAAGCATTTGAGGTCACAATGTTAGAAGGAAATCCTTTCTCAGAAAGATTAAACCAAAGCTCAATAGCCTCGAAATGCTTTTTGTCCTTGCAAAGTCCACCAACCAACATGGTCATCAGCCCGTCATTGGGCCTTAAATCTCTCAACAACATTTCCTTGGTAAAATGTAGAGCAGAATCAAACCTAGACTTCAAGCATAACCATTGAATTACAGAACTAAAGGAGCCAATGTTTATAGACAACACTCTAGATAACATTTCCCTTAAAAGATTCTCAGCATGCTCCATTTGGTCAATCCTGCAGAAACCCTGCATAAGTGAATTGAATGTTACAGAATTAGGCTCCACCCCATTGAATAGCATGTGATCCTTTATCCTAAGTGCCTCATCCATATTTCCCATTTTGCAGTAGCCAGCAATTAATGTATTATATACAAACTCGTTAGGGATAAAGCCCTTATCAGACATTTCCTTCAAAATTGAATTGGCTTCCGCAAATTTATCCAACTTAATCAAACCATTGATAAGAACACTATATGTAATGAGGCTGGGGTCAACTCCCTGTTTTCTCATGTTCTGTTTAATCTGAAATGCCTCATCCAGTTTGCCACTCTTACATAATCCATGGACAATATTATTGTAGGTGACTACATTCGGAGAGATACCCAGGCTTTCCATTGTAGAGAACAGGGTGAGAGCGTCCTGAATTCTGCCACCCTTGCAAAATCCATTAATCATGGTAGTACACAAGTAGACATCAAGAAAAACGGAACGAGACAAAGTTTCAAACACTTGATACGCCTTTTGCAGTTCGTTAGCCTTAACCAAAGAATTCAAGAAAAAGTTGCAAGTCTTGGAAGAAGGAAAAATACCCTTGTCTGCGAGTGTGAAAAAGACATCAATAGCGCAAGTAAAACCCACATTCTTGAACTGGGTGCAATAGAGATGCAGTAACAAATCAACCCCCGCAACCCCCTTAAAAGAGGTATCCAAATCCGCCAATGCACTCGCAATCTGAATATGACTAATGGCATGATTGTCAAGAGAGAAAAGTAGCAGCTTCCCATCAATCAAACGAATCAAAAGCAACCTAGCAGCGGAAGAATGATTGGAAAGAAGCAAAAGAATCAAGACACAATAGGACCGAAGCGTAAAACGGAAGTTAAAAGAACGGGCAGCAAGGGAAAAAAAGTTCAAAGTGGTTTTGGGATTGACATGGGAGGAAACAGAGAAGAAGAATCGATCAAAATCTGAAGGGGACAAAAGAGGAATAAGCTGTTTAGATCTGGACGAATCCAGTGATGGCTTAGAGAGAACAGAAGACAGACTATCTAGCAAACTCCGGTTATTACGGTGGGAAGAGGAGTGGTTTAGAGTCACAGGCGGAGGCGGCGGCGGTGACGGTGGAGGATTGAGCTGTGGAACAGCAGGAGAAAGGTTGGTAGACGACGATGTAACGCATGTCAAGGGGCGAGTGATTGGGGTGTAGATATAGATGGGTTTGGTGACAGCCGTCAGTCTTCTCACATCCATTGCTAACAATGTTTTTGGGAAAAGATAATCAAACGATAATGGTGAAATTGAAAATGGGAACGGGATCATAGGTTCATTGGAGATCGAGAGGATGATAAGCAGCCACGCTCATACCGATTTCCACACAACAAACATTTTTCTTTTTTACCTACTTACACCCCTTCCGAGAGTCGACTCAGTTAACTCGGCTTGCTAAAACTAAAAGACTAGGCCGGCTGCCAATTCAATTGATTGCGGAATGCAGGCAGGTGTACACAAGGAAGAAAGAAACGAAACAAGAAATAAATGGGCGACAGCACAACAATGAAGAAATGATGAATCAGGGTTCAGAGATTTTGACGTAGATCAGATCAGGATATTACAATACGGGCTTTTCAACCCAACTGAACTAGCCCACTTTTGGATTGGACTTAAGCTCATAGCCTGGTGGCATGGTATGTATAATATTGAGGAAAGGAGACACAAGCTATGAACTAGAGATTTAATCAGCAATTCGCTATAGGAATAACGATTGTTCTATAGTGATAGTGGTGCGGTCCGAAATTATTATTGCATGATTGAGATACTCGCAATGACCGTAATAACAATAAATGCAATACAATCGAAAACGCAACCACAATCATAATTTAAATCTCAACATAAGACCAAAGAGAAGGCATAAAAACATATTTTAAAAGTAGAGGAAGGCTGTTGTTCCTCAATCTAGCCCTTGTATTGTCTAAAATCTTTCATTCAGATGAAAATGAAACTAAAATTTATCAAAGTAATAAGCCAAAGTAGTATAAACATGGATACATGTATACCATATCCTAAGGATAGACACAAAATGTGTCATTTTTTATACAAAGAAACAATCTCTCATATGCCAATGCCATCTTGCTTGCTGTGAACATGGAAGCTGCATATTCCTGCGATGCCTTTCCCCTTTGTGCTAGCCTCTTCCGCCCTTCCCGCACCGCCTCCTCTAACGTCTCCAACAACGACTCCACGTTCGGCGCAAACATGAAACCGAATTCATCATTAACAACAATGCTGCCTTTAATGCTGGGGAACCTCGATGCAATCACCGCTTTCCCGCTCATCATCGCTTCCATCAGCGTCAGATCCAACCCTTGAGGCCTCAGTGTCGGGTTCACGAAAACATCGATAGCATTGTAAAACGCCTTCAGCTCGGATGGACTCATAGACCCCAAAACTTGTACACGAGGGCCTAATTCCTTGTATCGATTCTCCCACGGTCCGCTCCCCGCGACGATCAAGTGCACATGAGGGTGCTTTTTTACGAGCTTGGAGAAAGCTTCGTAAAGCAGAGGATGCCCTTTGTCCTTGACTAATCTTCCAGCCACTCCGAGCACCAAACTACCATTTATGGGGACACCAATTTTGGACCTGAACTCAAGGCCTAAGGATAAGTCGTTTCGGAAACCGGTTTCATCGACACCATTGAGGACGACATGAACTCGTCCAATCGGGATCTGATACACGTCCCTCAACATCTCTCCGCAACTATCACTGATTGCAACATGATGATTATAGTTGTGGAAGAATCTTATTTCGTTAAGCACTTTTGGGACAACCCCATATAAACTATCATTGAAAGCAGGTGACATGGGTTCATTAGGCTTCCGAGTTAAATCCTGGTAGATACTCGATTGCAAGCTCTCGAACGCTACACCGTGCCACGAAACAGCTAGGTTTTTGAGATCACGAGCCAACCAATGAGGAAGAGCCACACTTTCCGAATGGACGACGTCGAACGGTTCACGCCGGTTCTCTTCATCAAAGAGCTCCCAAGCTTTGTTGTATCTCCACTTACCAGCATCACCTTCATGGCAACGAATTCTCGGGTAATCATCACGGTGGTCTATGTTATTATCGACCAGAGGGGACGTAAACACATGAACACGGTGGCCGCGGTGAGCTAAAGCCGTGTGCAAGGTGTAGGCATGACGTTCCATTCCACCAGGAGTGGTGCCAGTAGGCCATTTCCGTGAGAAAACAGCGATTTTGAGTACGACCGGAGGAGATTGAATATATTTGAAAGGAAGACGATTCCAAGCAAACTGCATATTCCGAAGGTCGCCGGACCAAGGCTCAACGTTGTTCGGAGCAAAAGGGGTGCAACGGGAGGACGAAGAGATGTGAAGGATGATGATAAAGAGGAGAGGAACGGTGAAGGCAAGTATGAAGAGCAGAGCGGTGACGAAATTAGAATGGAATGAAATCAGATGGGGCTTCTTGGGTTTGTTGTTGAAGGCCATAATGGCTTTTACTCGATGTTTAATTTTAGGCTAATTAGTAAGCACAATATACTGTACGATCCAAAACGCAAAGTTTGATTATTAGGAAGGAAAGGAGGCAAAAGGTGTGGTTGTAGGGAGGCACTGGGCACGCACTAGCCAAAAAGCAACCAAGCATTATTGGTTTGTAATTGGAGTTTACTTTTCTGAAATTTAGTGCGTTTATAACGCCTCCTGTAAACCAAACTTCATAACGCTTTTATACAACTGGTTCCACATTACAGATTTCTATTTCTTTGTTTTTTATTGGCTGTCCCACAGAAATAAAACGTGCCATCAACAATTCCCTTTTGCTCTTCCCCATACTTCATGCTTTTTTACCTGCTAGCCAACCCCACAGGCCATAACTATAACAACTAAAATATATTGGGTAAAATATACAACTAGTATCTCTATTATAGGGTGATGTTTTATTAAGTACTCTTACTATTAAAAGTTATAAAATAATTTTTAACACAAATATAGAGTGTTGTTTTGTTGAGTCTCAAACTTTTAAAAGTTACAAAATAGTCACATGACTATTTATATGTTCCACACTTTTCTTTTTTATTTAAAATTTGACGACCATCTAAGTTGAACGTTAACATGTTGATTGAGATGGGATTAAAACATATTTTAATGTTATCTTCTACCACCGTCGTTACTTTCAAGCACTTACTCGACGACATAATGTAAATGAATAATCGACCTACAAAATACAGCTAAATCAATTCTGGGATTATATTTTACGTCTATCTCAGACGAATTCTAATTTTTTAACAAAAAAAGACAAGTTTGGAACATATGAATAGTCAAGTGATAATTTTATAACTTTTAATACTCAAGGGATTCAACAAGTTGGAGGATCATTTTGTAACTTTTAATAATCGAAAAACTTAACAAAAATGTCATGTTAGTTTCAGCTAAAAATGTCCTAAATTCAATAAATCTAGTTTAACACTTTTCAACTTCATTTAAAACCAAACCATAATAACGGAGTATATCATTAATATTCCTTTAAAAATAAGGATACTAAAATTTATTGATATAGATATAGATTTTTGTTTTTTTTATTGAAATGAATGTTAATGATAAATTTATAAACATGAAATTAATATTTTATCTAATGTCCTTTCAAACACTACATTCAAGGACGACTTAGGATATTAAGTCGAGGGACGAATTTTTCAAATTTCAATAGTAAACGAATTTATAAATTTTAGAGAGTATAAAATATTAAAATATATATAATTTAAAATTTTTAAAACGGTTATCCTCGTCCTTATTCATCTCTAACTACATCGAAGACATACCTAACTTGAAATTATAAATGCATGCTCTACATAATTTATCAGGGAAGTCTCACGTGCGGCAACCTAATATACGACTAAGAAAACGTGTTATCGTTTTGTTATTATTTTTTTAACAAAATCGTAAAAATTATCGAAAACATTATTTTTTTTCTACCAGTTTTGTTATTATTTGACACTTTACCGGGTTTGGTAATATATCCGTAGAAAAAATAATATTTTAGATAATATTTTATCGATATATTACCAAGCTCGGTAAAACGTTCAATAATTTTGGTAGAAATAATAATGTTTCCGATAATTTTTTACTGTTTTATTAAAAAATTAACAAAAATGAAGTGTCTTTTTTTAACTGTATATTAAGACCGCCGTACTATATAACTTTCCTGATTCACCCAAACCCTAAAAAGAACAAAACAAGAAAACGGGATAGGATGTTGTCTGCTGTATCCTTGCTCTCTATGTGTTCCCCGGACCAATTACTCTTGAAAAAAAAGCTATAGTAGCTTGCCTCTAAAGCTTATAGGACATAGGAGTGGCCGTTTTACATACTCTTAGTATATAATTTTGAATATAGTTAATAAATCAGATAATTATATACATTATTGTTTTTTAATATAAGATATAACGTGAGTCGTCGAATGATATAAATTAAATATAAATATTACATATATTATAAATTATTGTTTTAGCTTTGCTTCCAGTTATACTAGGTATAATTTTCTGTGTTTTCTTTAGGGAATAATACGATGTCTTTTGAAGTTAAATTTGTTGCGTATATTGAACTTATTAAATAGTTGTAATAATAAAAGACTGTTATTTTTCTTAAAGATTTTATATTTTAGTAACTCGTAGATAAGATGTGTATAAATTATCAATTAATTAATTTTTTTAAGTAAACATTATCTTATAACCCCTTTAAATTATTAAAAAAATAAAAATTGTTGTGTATATTTAACGGAATAGCACTACAACATGACTCTCCTTTACACTTTCCGGCACCTCAGTAGTCATTATTGCATCTGCTATTAGATAAATAATACAATTATTTAGTTCCAAGAATGAAGATGTCTAGGGCGGTTACCAGAATTTATACGGTCCTTTACGTTTAATTAATGTAAATTAGGTTATCTGTATTATTTTAATTTCCTAATTAGATTTATTTCACGAATTAATTCAATATTAATTAAATTAAAATAATAAATAATTCCATTTATTAAAACTAAAAATATTATTTTAAGAATACTATTATTTTTTTAGTATAGATATATTTTATAATCTCAATGTTTATAATGAATTATTGTTATTTTCATCTATAAAATTAGAAGAAATTAAACAATTTTATATCTCGCCTTTTATAAATGTCGTACTTTTACATTGAACATGCTTTAATTATTTATTCCCAGTAGACGATGTTAATTTATGATTGAGTAGAACAAATTATATGTCAGAGTGATCATATTTCTCCTCTTTGAGATTCCCTTATCTTCGTTTCAGCCGATCATAAGTGCTGCTAACTTTTAGTCTTCCTCCACCTACCTATAAATTTAGATTTTTGAGTTTGAACTCTTCATAGCTCGTATTTCTCAAAACCATGGCCTCAATGTCGTTTTCTCTGGTTTCGCTACTGTTCGTGAGCTTGACTCAGTGGCTGGTTGTGTTTACAGTTGCAAAAACCCTCCCGAGTGGCTTCTCGGTGGACCTCATACACCGTGACTCACCACTCTCCCCGATGTACAACCCTCTCGAAACCGAGTTCGATCGTTTTTACAATGCTTATAACCGCTCTGTCTCTCGAATTAATCGGTTCAGGCCAACGTATTCCAAGGCATTCCAGTCGGATATAGTGGCTAACGGAGGAGAATATTTCATGCGAATTTCCATCGGAACTCCACCGGTTTCGGTTCTTGGAATAGCGGATACCGGCAGTGATCTAACATGGGTGCAGTGTAAGCCTTGTGAAGAATGTTACGAGCAGAAGTCTCCTCTGTTTGATCCCACGAAATCCTCTACATACAAGAGCGTTCAATGTGGGACAGATCCCTGCAATGTATTGGATGGTTCGGACAGAGTCTGTGATCCAGAGAAAAACACTTGTAAATACAGCTACTCCTATGGAGACCGCTCCTTCACCAAAGGTAACATTGCTCTCGAAAATTTCACGGTCGGTCCGGTTTCGTTCCCCAACCTTGTGTTCGGCTGTGGACACAACAACGGTGGAACATTCGATAATGTAGGTTCCGGTATCGTCGGCCTCGGGGGAGGTCCCCTTTCTCTAGTCAAACAATTGGAGAAGTCCATCAATGGGAAATTTTCCTACTGCCTGCAGGCACCCGAATCGGCAGCTGAATCGAGCACATTCATATTTGGCACTGCAAAGGAATCAAATGCTGTTACAAGTACAACTCCATTAGTTCAGAGAGACCCTTCAACATATTACTACGTGACATTAGAGGCCGTCAGTGTCGGAGATAAAAGGTTGCCCTACGGCAGCTTTTCATCTTCATCAGCAACAGAGAAAGGCAACATCATTATCGACTCCGGGACGACATTGACCTTCTTGCAGTCCAAATTTTATAACAGCCTCGAATCGACATTGGAGGAAGCGATCAAGGTGGAACGAGTGAGTGATCCCAAAGGTCTCCTCAGTCCATGTTTCAAAGCCGGTCAGGACACAGATCTACCAACAATCACGTTCCATTTCGGGGGTGGCGCGGAGGTGAAGTTGCAGCCACAGAACACATTCGCACAACTCCAGGACGACATGGTGTGCTTCACCATGGTACCATCCAATGATATAGCCATTTTTGGGAACTTGTCTCAGATGAATTTCTTGGTTAGCTATGACCTTGAAGAAAGGACTGTGTCCTTCACGCCAACCGACTGCACCAATAGTCATTAGGACTCGATACAGAAATACATAAACAATTAAATAAAATGTTTGATATATATGATGAGACAGTGACAATTATGAGGTTGAACTTGAAAGCCATTTTCTAATTTTCTTATAATTGGTTTTCCTTTTAACAATTCTTACATATGGGAGGGTGAAGGAAATTTTTTCTCCGGAACTAACAATTAATGGGAGAAGAAAGATGTACAATCTAGAGGAGAAGAAAGGTGGAAATTGAAAGGGATTAGAGTTTTCAACCACGTCAAAAAGAGACGAAAAGAATATATAAGTTTATAAATAATTTTTAAAAATATTAAAAAAATATTAACATTTTCAATAGCGTCTTTCCTTAGCCTTATACTAGGTTGTCGTACAACAGAACTACCCAACTTGTAGTGCTCCTATTGACTTGATAATCATATGTGGAAAGTGGTGGATATATGTGTATATTAGAATGAGTACGTTTTTATTATGAAATTTAATTTTTTTATGTTAATTTTTTATTTTATTAATGGTGTTCACTTTATAATTTTATTTGTGTCTGTTCCATACAAATTTTTTTTATTATTAATATATATATGTCCATGCTAAAAAATATTTTTAGATCTAACATTATATATGTATACGACAATAATTTTATGAAACCATCCACGACCATTAGAATATGCGAAATGTCATGAATTGAAAAAGAGTAACAATTTCAATAAAATAGAAAGTTTAAGACTTGAAGAGAGTTCAGTTGAGCATGCAATGAAGTTGGGTGAGTTGGATAGGAATAAATAGGTTGAGTTGAGTATGTAATGTACAGGTGTATTTAAAAATA